TTTTAGGAAAAAAAGTTATATGAAGTACTGGTGATATTTTGACCCCATCTATACATTCCCGAGGGGAAAAGAGGAAGTCCAGGGACACCCTGTATAGTTATTTGGAAAATTTTTCTTGCCCTTTTTGAGAATAGGCTGAACGCGAGGAATCTTCCAAAAAGAATGGAAAACCTCTTTCCTGTAAGATATATCAGCAAAATACTGGTGGGAGTTAATTTGGACACTTAATAAAGGAATAATTTTTTTAGTAAAACTGTGACACCCCGTTACTCGGAAATGAAGCAAGTTAAAACAGACGTTCATATGAACTTTTTTCTCGTAAAATATCACCGATGTCATTAGTATAGTAAATGAGATCTGAGGCATTTTATCTTTGCACCCTGTGTATGATCGGGTGCACTTCGTCTGTGATTTTCAAGTTCTACTGTAGTTAGATACTGTGCAACTAATATGAAGTAGTTTCAGTAATTTTGAAGGTGCCAATAGTTTTGTTGTTTTCATGGGCAAAAACAGAGAAAGTCTGTTTTTCCAAATCTGAAGCTGATAGAGAATAATCAAAGTGCGTGAAATATCGAGTTGAGGCAACAAAGTTACCCGATAAACTCACCCTATTACTTTCAGCTGATGAAATCTTCCTAAATCGCCATCAATTCTACTCACCTAGTATCACCGCCAAAATTTTATATCCTGCTCCCGATGCTTCGACGAGGTGGAATCCATTTTGCTTCAGTTTTTCTTTGATTCCGATATCTTCACTACCACTTACACAAACTATGTTTTGCCTCTCTGTCATATTCACTCCACTATTTGAATTGAAGTTTTCCACGGATACACCCCAAATGCACTGCTGGGAATATCTGAAAAGAGATACATGCACACATTGATCGGTACCCAAACATAATATATTTCAAATAATTGGGTGAGGTGAAAATGATACTTCAAAATTTACGCAACACCAACATGCATTGCTAACAGCTGTTTCGACACACTGTGTCATGTTCTGAGAGTTATAAACTAAACTACTATGGGCTGAAGAGACTTGGGCCTAACACATAAAGTCTTGCAGCAGTTGTATCGCCAACAGCACATGCAGGAATAATCTCAGTGAAGAATCCTGCATTGACACCTGTCGGATATAGCCCAACGCCCTTCGTGGTATTAGCCAGTGGAGTAGTTGTTTTCTGATAGGTGTCAGTCCATTAACCTACAGTGTAGGGAGTTGAGACTGGCCTGAATGAATTGTTCTTTTAGATGATTTGAATTATAGCCAGTCTTCAATGAGTATGCCCACTGACTATATGTGAAAAGTTTTCTTCCATTATACGAGGAACTGGGCAAATTCCGAATATGCAGTTGGTTACCTCGTTCACAGTCAGATGGGGCGATGACAAACCTGTTGTTTGTTGTCTGCTTCAGCCTAATTCGAAGAATGTCACTCTGAAGGAATTCGATTTCCAATTACCGGAAATCATCGACTTTATGTCGATAGTAGACACTACCTTGCGCTGATGAGTGGCCAAACAACTCAAAGGGAAGTAGGGAAGTAGTCGTTTTCTGATAGGGGTCAGTCCAATTAACCTACAGTGCAGGAAGTTCGTTTAGATGATTTGAAGATTACGTTGACGAATAAAGCTAATTTGAAAATTTCCTTGTGTAGCTTTTCCTGCGATGAGTCGCATGTTGATGTTCCAGCGGCCCTGATAACGTTTTTCCATCAATTTAATATGTTGATGGAAACGCTCACCCTGCTCCTCACTAACATCTCCCAAATTTTCCGGGAAGTAATCAAGATGACTGTTCAAGAAGTGGACTTTCAGGCTCATCAAACGTCCTAGTTTCTTAGAATTCTTCAACATGGTAGCTACAATGGTACGATATTCTGGGTATTTTGCATTTCCTAAAAATTTTGTAACAACTTGCTTGAATGATACTTATGCTTCTTTCTCTTGTATGGTCATGGTGGTTTCAAAGTTTACGTCGAACATCATTTTTCGAATGTCGGGTCCTACAAAGATGTCTTCTTTAAGTTTAGCCTCTGAAAGGTTTGGAAATGTCTAACAGAGATACTTGAAACAAGGTCCATCTTTGGGCAATGCCTTTACAAACTGTTTCATGAGGCCTAACTTTATATGTAGAGGTGGTAAGAGAATGTTTCTAGGATCTACAAAGTTTTTGCGTCGGGTTTTGAAGACTCCCTCGCAGGCTAGTTCTTTCTGCACCAATGTTGATTCCTTGCTCTACTGTCCCATTCAAAAAAAACATGAAAATTTGGTAAAACCGCCTTGCTGACCAAGAAGCATGCATGTTAATTTCAAGTCACCACAAATCATCCAACTATGAGCCAAATAGCCAATTTTATTCAACACTATTTCTAGGTTTTAATAGGTATCTTTCATATGTATAGAATGGGCAACAGGTATATATGCATAAGTGTTACTATTGTGTAATAAAACAGCTTTCAAATTAGTTTTAGAAGAATCAGCTTTCAGTCTCATTTTTTGTATTCAACACTCTTCGATCAGACCTGGAATGTCTGAGCAGTACACTAAATCACCTTCTCGTTCAAAATATTTCGAAAACTGCTGCTCTCTCTTCCTATACACATATATGCTAGTTCCAACTGCTAACAATTTTTTTTCTTTTAGTCTAGAACAGAGGTCTCCAAACTACGGCCCGCGGGCCAAATCCGGCCCGCCAGTATCATCAATCCGGCCCGCGACAACCAATGATCACCTAATTGTTGTTACTATTGCTGTGATAAGTTGAAGAAGAAAACACAGAATGATAATTACTCGGTTTCATTTACTTGCAAGGTAAAACTTAAAGACAGAAATGATGACAAAGAAAACTCAACTTAAGTATCTAAGTTTAAGCATATTAATAACTAACAAATAATTGAAATGAATCACAGTAAAACAAAAACACTAATGAGATTTATGTAATTGTGATTTTCCACCGACAATACTTTGTAGTTGTGGATCAATTTTACTTGTACCAATTATCAAAAGAGATTTAAGATGCTCATCGGTTAATTGAGATCTGTAAACATTC